GCTCCTTCGTGCATCTGTCCCTGAAGTTTCAGGGAGTGGGTGTGATGCCAATTCTGTGTGTAAACAGGCAACTGTGTGTGTGTGTGTGTGTGTGTGTGTGTGTGGGTGGAAGAGTGAGGTCTGGAGAACAGAACAGTGTAACACCATGTGAAAGTGGCAAACAAACAGACAAAAAGGCAGCAAAACAAAGGCAGGTGCCGAAAAACAGAGGTCTGATTATTAATAAAATTGCTGCAACATAAACAAAGTCATTCTGAGTGGTTTGGTGTGAAATGCTCTGTTCTAGAGAAACTTACAGACTCAGAATTGTTCACAGTGAAGGTGATAGGAACCAGACGTCTGAAGATTTTGACGCTTCTGAAAGCTCCTTCACAGAAAGTTACTGCATGAAATGATTACAAACATGCTGGCTGATGCCTGAGACATTGTTTAAAGATGGCTTTTGGCCTAAAATGTGAGCAGTGTACTCACTGCTCGACCTCAAACTACTATGCCTACGAGCGCAGCCATTGGCTCACGAGCTGCTGAATGCTGCCGTTTTATTGCCCCCTACTGAAACATCTGCATGAATTGCGGCCTGTTTCATGTAAATGATATGCAAATTAGGTGCTGGTAGGCTGGTACTTGATTTCACGCACTCAAGTTGGTTCATTATTTACACTTAAATCTTCATTTGTTTTCATGATGTACGAAAGGTTCATGAATCAGATGTAGTTCGTACGGATTACTGTCGTTACTGTTGACAGACAAGCGTGCAACAGCCTCAGGATTCACTAGATTTTGTCTGAAGCACAACATAGCACTAAACAGCACTGTGGGACATCACAGAACACAGAACCACATCATCCTTCCTAAAAATGTCACATTTCATCATGACCACCAGTGGAAACTCTTAGCGACTGGTCATTCTTAATGTTTCAGTTTAGGTCAGCTCAGCTCATGCCAAAGCACTGATGACGTACAGCTGAAACGTCTGCTCCGTTTATGTCTGGCTTGTAGTAGCATGCAAAACAAACCCCTTCTTTAGCAGAATGTAGGAAGCACACTTTGATTCACACTTAGTATTTGATGTAGAAATATGGATGATAACCTTGGATCTTGTAATGATAACTGCTAAAGAATTAATGGGCATTCCAGCCTGAAACTAGCATTTAATATGTTATTAGCCGTGTTCTGTAATATTCTGTAGTACAGCGTTGCATCTCTCAGCTTCATCAGTTTGACAGAGTCCACGATTTTGTGTTCGTTTTTGCATTCACATCTATCACTATGTTCACTACACAACCCAGCATGCATTGCACAAATGCTTTGTATAACTATGGGGAATCCCCTGATGTGATGTAACATGCTTACTGGCTCCCAGACAAACTCTAAGGCTACGTCCACATTACAAGCCTCATTGCTCAAATCTGATTTTTTGCTCAAATCCGATCTCTCTGACACAATGGTTCACACTGGTTTGGGTAAGTGATTCAAATCTATCATTAATGTGAACGAACCGGCGTCCTGAAATGACCCGCACGCGCACATCCTACACAGTAACGTACGTGTGTCATCAGCAAACAGACTAACGAGCAGAACGAGCTTCGCTGTGAAGATAATTAACTCTGATCAGCTCTCAGCTTCATTATTAGAGCGAGACGAAGGCGAAAAAGGTGAGACCTGTTTTACCATCGTTTACAGGCTTTAACTTCTGTTGCCATGGTAACGCTGAATGATGCAGTGGAAAAAAAGCACATGAATTCCAATCTGAGCGTTCACATTAGGGACGCATGGCCACAAATCAGATACGTATCTGATCTAGGACCACGTATGAAAGTGGCTCAGGTCGGATTTGAAACGATCAGATTTGTGTGTCCACACAACCCTGAAAACATCAGATCTGAGTCACATTAGGGCAAAAATTCAGATTTGTGACACTTCAACCTGGTAATGTGAACGTAGCCTAATTCACTTTCGGACCCCAACTCCCAAAATGCATTAGTCAGTCACGTGACCCAGCCAGCCAATCATCCACCAGTCATCAGATCTCAGTCACTGGGATTCTAATTGCTTTCACCCCTTACCTCTTGTATATCACTGTTGTTGGAAGAAAACCTTGTGTCTCCATTTTTGTCGTTTTTCAGTTTTTGACATAATTTAAAAATGCATGTCCTTTACGTTGTTTGTAAATTTGACGATCAATGGACCAAAAGAAACGACCCAAAATTACTTGGAAAAACGTCTGGTTCCATTGACTTACATTATAAATAAAGTATGTTTACCGTTTTGGAGATATGAGGTTTTCTTCCGACAACAGCGACATATACCTGTCTGTTTGTTTAATTCATTGCAAAGTAATTCCTCTGTTTTGGCAGTGCATACCGAGCCTTTCTCACTTGTTTGTTCTCCGGTTATGACCCGTTGTTGTCTGCTTCTATGTACCGTGCCTTGCTCTTGTGGTTTTTGACCCGGTCCGGTGTTAACGCTGCTCTTTTGGATCGTCCTCTTTTTAATAAACCTCATGGTTTATTTTACATACATTTTCACCCAGTGTTGCATGATGAGAAAATTAGCCAATAAATATATGTGTGATTTCGTAGCAACATTAGCGCTCTAGTTTGCTCCTACACCAGCCAGCTAGCGGGAAAAAACCCACCGTCACCTTCAAGATACAGAAGGGGGTTTTCTTAGTCACAGCACCAGGAAATCTCACCCCGGGGACTATTGTGGCACAGAGGAGGCGAGTAGGTATGTTTATAACCAATGTAACTATAGCTGCATCCCAGTTCAAGGGCTGCATCCTTTGGAGGCTGCATTTGAGGGCCGTTTGCTGGTGAGACTAGGCTGTCCCATTTAGAAGACTCATATGCGGCCGAGAAATGTGTCCTTCTTTTCCATGGCAACAAAGGATCCAACTGGTGGACCCTTCGCCAGCCAACATATCCCGAGGTTCATTGTGTGCCGGCGAGGATTTGAGAACAAGGCATCGTCAGCAGAGGAGCGAACGGCGGTTGAGGAGACATTTTTAAATGAACGTATTGGGTTTAAACTGAGTCGAATAGCTAACGAGACAAATGTTAAAAAAGCCAGTGTGGTCTGAAGCAAAACTTACGCTAACGTTTCATTTTGTTTTAGGGAGCAAAGAGCAGACAGAGAGAAGCGTCTCTAGCTCTAATAAATGAAAAAATAACTAAAATCAAAGTTTTTGGCTCTGTCTTTAAACTTTAAAAGAACTTGACAGGAGCGGAGTTTCGGGACGCAGCGGTAAGGGCAGGAACAGCGGTGCTGTCAATTCGGCCTTCATGGGTCTACGCAACCTTCGAAGGATGCAGTCCCTGATTTGGGACACAGCTAATGGTTAACGTTAACGTTAAAAGCTTGCAAACATTCTATCCATTCGCCACACAATGTAAAGCTGACACTGTCAAAAGGAGTAAAAGCATAAAAGGAAATAAAATAGCAAAGTTTCTTCATGGCCGTGATGATGTGTAGATTTGATTAGATTGATTCAGTGCTAAGCTGCTATGCTACCTGCAGACTGTAAACCACATGTACAAAAAGGTCCTCGGAGGATTCAGCAGCTTTCAAAATCAGAGCAGTGCAGCACATTCAGCTGGAGCGTGTGATCAATACTCAGTGAAGGAGGTTGTTTTTGTATGAAACGACAGCAGAGCACACAGCGTATCCCGGCTAACAGCGCTACAGTCGCTTACAGGCCTCAGCGCACAGGCTCGATTGTTTATTAATGAACATAAAACTCGGCGCACAGTCAGCACCTCAAACAGCACCCCTCAGATCCCCCCGGACACAAACTTAATAATCTCAGATACCGCTCTCTCTCTCTCTTTCTCTCTCTCTCTCTCTCTCTCTCTCTCTCTCTTCCTCTCAACGGTGTCTCTCTTTTAATAAACGTGATGTTTTCTGTTATTGGCAGCATCCAATCTTGTTGCCTGCAGGCGAGTGTCTAATTAAAGTGAAGCATGATTAATTAAGCTCATAATAAAAGAAAAAGACAGAGTGCGTTCTCTCTCTCTCTCTCTCTCTCTCACTCTCTCTCTCTCTATCTCTCTCTCTTTGTCTCTCTCTTTCTCATTCTACCTCTCTCTTACTTACTTTTTCTCCCTCTCTTTTTATCTCTCTCTCTCTCTCTCTCTCTCTTACTCACTCTCTTCTCTCTCTTTCTTTCTTACTCCATTTTTCTTCCTCTCTCTTTTTCTTCTTTTCTCTTACTCTCTCTCTCTCTTACTTAGTCTATTTCTCCCTCTCTTTTCTTTCTGTCTCTTTTCTCTCCTCTCTCTTTCCTACTTACTCTCTCTTTCTCCCTCTTTCTTTTTTCTCTGTCTCTCTCTCACCCCCCCTCTCTCTCTCTCTCACACACACACACTCCCTCTCTCTCTCTCTCTCTCTCTCTTTCTCTCTCTCTCTCTCTCTCCCTTTCTCTCTCTCTCTCTTCCTCTCCCTCTCTCTCTTTCTTTCTTCTCCCTCTCTCTCTCGCTCTCTCTCTTTGTTCTCTCTCTCCCTCTGTGTGTGTTAATCTGCTGGAGTGATGGAGGGTCTCCTGCCGTGTGCTCTTTAATTAAGAGAGATGTAAACAGTGTTGGTGGTGTATGTGGCTCTGTGGTCAGATGCGCGTGCCGTGAAGTCTGTAGCGCAGAGAGAACAGCACGAGTGCACAGCTTGGGCTGAAACTTAAAGAGACAGTTTGGCAAAAAACCTAATTTACATAGCCCCCCCTTACCCACCCCCCACCACAAATGTAATCGACCCACCAAGACATGTTTGCTGTCTGAAGTTTCTTCTGTACTTTAGTACTGGATGTTAACCTGTAGGTTTACCCAGGCTACTTTTTCAGTGTGGTGTGCCTCATTTCACTGTGCCAGCCAATCAGAACAAAGCTCATTTTCATACAGTTGATCAGTCCTAAATGCACAGTAACAAATACAGTAATAATGATAATGCCTGTTTGAACGTTTCGTTAACATACAGTCATGAGTTCTTCCCGTGTGTCCTGTGTTTAGGTAAGAGGATGCTGCAGGGAGTCAGAGTGAGGCTGAGTCCCACCTGAAGCCCCTTCCCCCTTCCCCACCACCGCACGGCCCTCCGCCCCCCACCGCCCCAGGATGCACTGCCCGTGCCGAGGGAAGCTGAAGCTGCTGCTGGCATCTCTGAGCTTCATCGTTCTGCTCACCTGGCTCTACCTGCTCGCAGGCAACCTGGAGAGTGAGTGCAGCCTCAGGGCCACAAGGTCCACCTGACAGTCTCAGTAGAGCAGCTTTAGTAGAACGGTTTGACTCTCCAGGCAGGTTTGAGAGGTGATGTGGTTTTGTTCAGGACTGCTTAAAGTTTGTTTCTTTAGTTTTGCAGTGGAGCTACGAGGCTAATGTAGCTGACAAATAATGGGAAAAGTAAACTCCACTCTCATTTAAAAATCTCAACTAGACTTGATTATATGGTTTCTGACACCATATGACACACTTTGAACTTTAAACATGGAGAAAAGATAAGAGTATGTCAAATAGTGTCAGAAATGTGTGAAATTAAAAACATAAAATCATCCATGTTTAGTAAAATGATATTTTAGGCTGCTATATCCTGATATTTTCAGTATATTTTACACTCATTAAAAGATACCACTTTTAAATGGTTCATGAATGGTTTAAAATGAGTTCATTAATGGGTCTTAAATACCTTACTATATACCATATAATGCCATATTTCAATATTAAGCATTTACAACACATGAGTAAAAAGGCCAACAGGGACCTTTTGTTCGCCTAATAGTGAACTTACATTCTTTTATATTGTCAAATTTCAGATTCTTCACCATTAAATCTGTCAGCTTTATCACATATTCATATTGATCAGATATAACAGCTCATTTTTGTCCTTTTTATTAATGTGTTACAACTGCTTATTAATGATTACTGAAGTGTTTATGACCTAACTAATAACCATTAATAAACTATTTTTAAACTATTCATAAATCCTTTATAAAGGTAGTCTTATTTTAAAGTAGTACCCATTAATGTATCTTGGGTGAAACTTTGATTCAACTTTAATTGCTTGAAACCTACATGAAATAAATTGCGCTTGAGTTGCATAATGTAAAGCATCCTGTAACTCATTTGAAACTCAGCTGTATCTCAGGTGAAACATTTTCATAAAGTATCTCAGGTGAAATGTTCATGCAACTTTAATGGCTTGAAATCTACATGAAATAAATTGCACTTGAGTTGCATAATGTAAAGCATCCTGCAACACACTTGAAACTCGACTGTATCTGAGGTGAAACATTCTCGTAAAGTATCTCAGGTGAAGCTTTTATGCAACTTTAATTTCTTAAACCTACATGAAATAAATTCCGCTTGAGTTGCATGATGTGAAGCGTCCTGTAACTCATTTGAAACTCAGCCGCAACTGTTGCAAGTGTCTCAAGTTCATAAAAGAAGCTTCATAAAACAGCCAATCAAAGCACCAGTAATGCATCACGTGATCAGGTTGCCTGGCATTAATAGACAAGACAATAAAATAGAAGATGTTTATTGGGTGGTTGAAAAGGAGACTTACACCTCTGACTGTAAGAACACTCCTAAAAATGATGGTTCTTCAAGGGTTCTTTAGTAAAGAATATGGTTTATATAGAACCATGAACACTCAAAGAACCCTTTGCATGATTCTTCGGATCGATGGAGAATGTGCTGTAGATGGTTCTATATAGATCCTTTTTGGTGCTGCATAGGAGCCTTTTCAAAAAGGTTCTATGTAGAACCATTTACATCATAGTCTCCATCAGGCTGAAGAACGCTTTGACGATACAAAGAACCCTTTAATCATGCAAAGTGCATAATATGAGTGTTTATGGTTGTATATAGAACCGTGTTCTTTACAAAGGAACCCTTGAAGAACCATTTTTAAGTGTGTAGTGTTTCATATTTCCATGACAACAAACACAAGTTTTCCGTGACTCCCTGCGTTAACTGGCCAACGCTAACAGCTGTTTACACGGCTCACAGTTTCACTGTTTACTGTTTACATGTTAGCCTGCTGTTATTGTGATTTATCTAGCTAGATTCCTTTTCTCCTCTCTCGATGCTCCCCAATTTTACACAGAGCTCAGATTCAGTCTGTGCTCCTCAAAGAACTTCTAACGCTTATAGGACCAGATGACTGAGACATCAGTTAGACTATAACTGTAACAGATACTTAAACATGAATTCTCAAAGCTTTAACAAACACACAACAGATAAAACTCAGATATGCAGTAAATGAGCCTAGATAGATAGATAATAGGATGACAATTATAGCTGGAAAATGCTGCAAATATGTAAATCACACCTTGTAGTCGACTTTATAGTGAGAACAATAAGAAATAATTGGGCATTCCAGTGCTGCAATGGACTGGCGACCTGTCCAGGGTGTATCCTGCCTTCCGCCCAATGACAGCTGGGATAGGCTCCAGCACCCCACCGCGACCCAGAAGGATAAGCAGTTTAATTGATGGATGGATGGATGGATGGGCATTCCAGTGGAGTACCTGAATGTGCTGAGTGCAGCGTCACAGCCTTTGATGCATTGCACAAAGCCAAAAGGTTACTTCCACCACAGTTCCTAAACCAACAGGACGCTCTTACGAGAAATTAAACAGGGATTTTACAACATAACACGTTTCCGAACGGACTGGTACGGAACTCAGAAGCGCTTACTTTCATGAACAAAACATAGTTTGACCAGAGGGTGCCTAAACATTTGCATACAGCTGTATGTGAATAACATATTTATTTGCATGGAAGGTTTTAGCATAAATAAATTGCCCCCTGCCCCCACCATGTTAGCACATGTTTTAGTAGATGTTTTTATGCAGCACACAGCTGCAAGAGTTTGGACGACCCTGCTTAAACGGCATTTTGTTGAATAAAAATAAGTGAACACGTCCTCTACAGACGTCTGCGCATTTTTATGCACAATTGCTGTTGATTTGCTGGATTTATCTTTTGGGAAAAAAAAATAAATAAACATAAAATGTGACCCGTGGCATATTATATGTGTAAGGTTTCATTTTTTTTCCAGTGTGTTAAATTCATTAAAAATAGAATTTGTGCACTAAAATGAACAAAAAAGTCATTTTTTAGTGTGTTCTCTTTAGAGCATGTGTTTCGTTTTATTATTATAATTTTCACTCAGAAAATCAACAACACATAAAATTTGACTAGGCGTGCCTAAACTTTTGCACACGAATGCACAGAGTCATTCTGGGGGGAGAAAGGTTGAGCTCCACCAAACAAACAAATGCACAAATGAACAAGGAAGGAAGGAAGGAATGAATAAATCAAAAACAAACACATAAATAAATAAATAAATAAATAGCACCATTAGGGAACAGAAGAGGATGATGTCGTTGTTTACACCTGAGTGATGGAGAGAGACAGCGAGCGAGTGGCTGGTGTTTAGGAAGGAAAAATAGATGGAGTGCTCTTTTAGAGTGCTACTGTTAATCTGAAAATAAGTGCTAAATTCATTAGAGTCATTTGCATAAGGTGGAGTTTGGCTTTGCGTGGTTAATGGGCCGGCCATGCAGATGAAACCGCGCCGCCGTGGCGTTACACGGCTGATGAGAACAGCGCGGCTTGTTTGTGTAATTTCTCATTAGAATCAAAAACGGAGATGAATATTCGGCTCCGAATCTCGGGCGCTCTCTGCTCCCTCAGTGAGTGCGCGTCTTATGTTACTTGGTCTCCTGGAACAGAGCGTGATGCCTCCAGAGCTTCTCACTTTCTCTCAGGGTAATAAATGGAATGATGCCCTGTGGCAGGTCTATGCGAGCGCACACAGATAAATTCTCTAAAGAGAAAGAAAGTGGGACTACAGTCTGGAGAACCTTGCCAACGTAGCAGAACAAAATGTTAGAAAGTCAGCAGTTCGGTGGGAAGAAGCCTTAAAAGCAGCAGCTGATCAAATTTTAAGGCGCCTTAAGAGACACTAAAGTAATCGGATTAAATATCAGAGACCTTTAGACTATCAATAATCCTGTCACTGCACTGTGTTCGGTTAGCACAGCATTCAATTAGACGTGACTCTGAGTTGTGATAGCCAGGAAAGGTCCCTGCTTTTCGAATAGAACAACCAGGCTGTTCCTTGGAGGTGCTTTTTTTTACAGTCTAACTAAGATGGTTGTACTTAACCCCTTAAATGGCCAGAGCCCACCAGCTGGCCCAAAGTTTTATTGCACACTTCTATAAATTAAGAACAGCGCAGCCAGTTTGCATGAAGTCCCTGTAGTTACTCACTAATAAGCCTGTGATTTTAAGCGGTTAAAGGTTCTGCTTCTTAGCTGGTTAATGCAGAGGGAAGACAGACAGCTAACCCCAGTTTGCATAACCTGTTTGGCCCACTTGTGTGTCACATCCTTGGTTTTGTTCTGGCCCAGTTTGTTTGGCAGCCCAGATCTGACTCACGCACTGTAAAATGGGTAGAACTAATGGATGCGGCCCACATTTGGCCCAACTACATTGTTGGTCCGCAACATTCATGCCAGCCCACAAATATAGACACAAGGCAAAACTGTATTAAGCTGTCTCTGGCCCTATTCTGGCCCGTATGCCTAACATCTGCCCGGTAGTCAGCTAACACTCACACAGGAAAGCCAGAAGCAGCCAAAACTGCCTGCTATCTGGGACTTTACTGCTAGGAAGCCAGATATCTTGCAGCTATGTAACTGTAGCAACTGTCTTCATTACTGTAGAGAGAATGGACTACTCACATGATAGAAATGACTCGTCAGATTAGGAGGACAGCAAGCTAGCTGAAGTTAGCAAAATAGCTACTAGACTGTCTGGCTCAGTTTGGCTTCCTTTTTGTGTCTAAAAGAGTAAAAAACGTGTCTCTGTTGCCCATTTTGTGCTAAGCAAAGACAGAATCTGACTTTTCTTACAGAAATCCAAACGTGATCCGATCACCGAAAACACATTAATGCAAGTTATACAACAGTTAGCTCCGCCCACGCAAGCTGATTGGTTGAGAAGTGTCTAACTGTGCTGTTATTTCACAATAACATCACTGTATCACTCCGCCGAGACGCCGTTGCTAAGCAACGACTTTGACAGCTGTAGGAGACGCTCAAACCATTTGAACGTTTTACTTCTTACTTTGCCACAAACAGAAAATGGATACTTTTAAGATCACATTTGACCGACAGCTGATTTGGTCCGACTCTGAAGATGAGA